AAGCGGCCCTGATATATAGCAGGTGCTGCGTTCCCTGGTATATAGCGGGTGCTGCGTGTCCTGGTATATAGCGGGTGCTGCGTTCCCTGGTATATAGCGGGTGCTGCGTGTCCTGGTATATAGCGGGTGCTGCGTGCCCTGGTATATAGCGGGTGCTGCGTGCCCTGGTATATAGCGGGTGCTGCGTTTACATCTTCCGCATGGAAACACAGGAGGCAGAATCGCCAGGATTTCTGCGTCAGCAACAATATAGAGTAGCGTTTCCCACAGAACATCAACGTTTTCGCTCTGTGGACTGTCTGTGGGTCCCCGGGGATTGAGAAACACTGGTATAGAGAGTGGGGGGAGGCTCGGGGGTGTGTGCATGTCCAACCAAGCATGGCTAACTGGTAACTCAAAATTGCCCAGAGTATAACTGTGTGTGTGTGTGTGTGTTCCGTGATGGACCAGCATCTCCCCCAGGGTACATCTCCCCCAGGGTACATCCTTATGCTGCCAGCGATGGGCTCTAGGCAACCTTACCCAGCAGCCTGAAGGTGCTGGATGGACGTCATTCCTCACCCAGTGGACCTGGGTCACTGCATAAGGCAGCAAAGGCTCCAGCTGATCCTTCAGCAGAGTGAGCTGGATTCCCCACTGGCCGGCCATCAAAAGGGAGATTTCCGTTGATGTGCCCGCCTGCTGTGATTTTGTTAGCTGGGATTAAATACGACAAACCTAAACTGAAGTTCACCAGCCATGGAAAAGGTTTGCAACGTAGGGCACGTCAGCATGGCAGTATATAACCCAAGTCTACTTCACGATGACGTCAAGCAGCTGGAATAAGCATCACAAAGTCTCCTTAGCAATTCGCCATTTAGGGCTTGTCTATTTGGGCCACCCGCGGTAAACGGCAAGACTGCACCATCAGCACTGAGAATTTACTTTATCGGGCTGTTCCTACCCGGGCTCCTTCCCATATAAACGTCCTTCTTCACGGAGTGTTTTAGCAACCTAGATGATAACTATGCAGAAAATAAACCAGAACCCAAACGGTCCCAGTCAACCTCTGACTCATCACCATGGGAACACATGTCGAGGTCAGTCTGTCCCTCTGCTTTAGGTTTCCTGAGTTCAGGGATGTCTAGAGCAACATAAATAGATACTTCAAGGAGATCCAGACCGCAGACGCAAGACCAAATGGCAGGGTGTGACAGACTGATTCATTTTTACAACTTAAAAATCTGCAGCTAAACAACCCCCCCCCACTACCAAGGAGAACGACGTGCGCTTCTGAGTTAGTCTCTCATAGCTCCACCTTCCAATACCTCCAGCTGCTGTTGGTTTGCTCCACCCATCCGGCCTCCAAACGGCACCAAAGCTGGATGCCGTATTTCAGGATCACCGTTTAAATCCCCTTTTCAGGTTTCAACAGAGCAATTCTTCCAGGAACTTGTCGTCACTAAGTTCTCATGTCACACCTCTCGCTCCAGTCCGGCACCAATCGCCTTTGCTGCTTAAAACTCGAAGGTATTAAGTCATCAGGTTGCAGCCCTCAGAAAAAGGTTTAACATTTTTGACTCGTTTTTTCGAAGTCCTGTTGCCACTTCAAGGGTCGAACCCGTCAACTGGCTAAGCCGGTCGGCTTCTCTAGGTGACCAGCGTAATTAAATTCAGCTTAGAGGGACGGCGACTTCAGTCCCACAGGTGACACTGAACTCTTCACCTGACACTGTGGGTTAAGCATCAGCATCTAGCAGTCTGACCTTGTTAAGCAGTCACCTTTCAGTCCCTCTATTTACCCACTGGAGCGCCGGGGGTCTGCGTCTGCGCTGAACGGCCTTCCCGGGACCGCAGGCAGCACGCTCAAAGAGAGGGTGCAGTGCATGCTGGGATGGTCCCACACCACAGAACAGGGTCCCCTTTGTGCGTGCGGCCGCACACCTCATCTTCGTACGGCTTGGCACGCTGCCGCCCCCTCTGCAGGCTCAGATGCGACGTGACAGTGGGGGTAGGATGCAAGACAGGACACGGTGGGGGGGGCAGGGGGGTAAAATAGTGTAAAATAAGCCAATCAGCTTCCAGATCTTCTTTTGTCACTTTAAGAGCTTGTGTTGCATTGAAGGCACTAAAGCATGAGCAAGCAAAGAATCTTTATCAGACAAGAAAGGTCATGAGGAAGGTGGAGATGAAGAAAATCCCCCCCAACCCTCAATGAACCTGAACTATAAACTATGACGGCAGAATATTTCCTGTTTCACCTGGGGAATCGCTGCCTGTGACCGTTGTTTTCCTATTAAGAGATTGGGGGGGGGATTAGAAAATCTAATTTTAAGTCTGATTAAAAATCGCTACATTACACAGATTCTCTTAGTGGGGGGGCTCTATCTGAGCAGACTGACATTTTCCTAATTTAGCCCCTTTCCTCATTTGTTCAGTTAACCCCCTGCAGCCGGCCCATCGGGGAATATAATTCACTGAGTGTCCTATTACTGTAATAAAAGGTACTTTTCTGCATTACTAACCACAATGACCCGCATATATAGTTTTACAGCGCTTCATAAAATAAAAAATATCCGTGACGTGCAGTAAGTACAGCATGGAATCTCCAACTAGCTAGCTAACATCCTCAAGTTTGCCGTTTACTGTTCTCCGGTTTCAGGTCCACTGCGTGTCTTGCACCAAAAAAGCAGCTCCTTCATTTTCCTAGTGAGGCACGTTCTTGTTGCGCTCGCTGCAGTGTTAAGAGCGTGCCGAGTGATGGAGGACTGACTGCAAAGATTCCAGTGAGAGATCAGCGTTTACCTGCATTTTAACAGTAAGAGAATGTCAGAGACAAACCAAGAAGTGCAGCACCCTCCCGTAACGCAAACAGCAGTATTTAAACACTGAATGCCGCTGATCTTGTGGTTTTTCCACTGGCCTGCAATGCATGATGGGTAAGTGCAGGTTTTGGCTCTGGCAGCAGAAACTGACGCACTAACAAGCAAGAAACACCAATACATACATAAAACCACACCGGACAGTGCAACTCCAGCTATGTTTAAGCAGTGCTTCAGTGTCAACAGAGTGATTCATTCAGGAACCCGTCACCAGACTGAATTTTAATTATGAAAGACAAGGTCGTTCACCGGTCTTGATGTGTCACACTTAATGAAAGAAATAACTGCGTAAAGATGAAATGAGAGGGGACAGAATCACTGGGGCACTGCTCAGGTGACAGGTGTGTCCCTCGCACCCACCTCTCCCATGTGCGGTTCGGAGTCACACCCCCCCCCCCCTTACCTCTCCCGCACAAACTCGGCCAGCTCCTTGGTGGCTATCTGACCATGCTTCATGT